TAGTACAGTTTGGCATTGTTGTAATGGAAAAAATCTGTATCAGAATTTACTGACATGCACTTGCCGATGATTTGTCTTGTGTTAGTGTCACATATCACTCCTGTCACGTGCCTGATTTAAGGATTTCTCCTTAAGAACCAACAGCACTCAGAAATGATTATGTTGAGTCGTTTGGCTCGTATTGGTCTAAGGGATGCCCCGTGGCCATTATACGCTCAACTTATTTCTGGAGTAGGGCAACTCAAGTTTAGGCACTACAAAATATATATATGTATACGAATACAATATTCCTAGGCACACTTGGCTGGACACCCACACTACTATAAAAAGAAAGCCCCCAGGTTATGATAGTTTCCTATCATAATCATGTTAACACATATAATACTTATTATACATACACACATCAAAGATAAACACTTAGCAAGGTGAAACAGAGACACCTAAGTCAGCCATGAAAATGAATGCATGTAATCAATTCAACTTCTTTACATCAATAAAAGAATAATGTTTAGAATGTTTGTAGGATCAGAACTCAGAGCAACGACTCAGATATTGAAACAGCCAGAAGGTCTTGACTAGCAACCCAGTGTCATCCTTGGAATACTGTGGAGCTGTGGGGAATAGAGCATGATAATAACACAAAAACTTGCACTTATCAGAGTTCTATTGTTGATGCTCCCCTCAGTCCATGGTGATTCGACTGTAGTTGACTCTGGTAGTTCTGCCTCAAGTGGATCTGTTCATAGAGGAGTACCTCACCATCGAGGACACAGGAACTGTATAGGGACTCAGCAAGTCTCTCCCACAGGTCAGGTCACAACTCTGTCTCTGAGCTCCACCAAGCTCCTGAAGAATGGTACACTCGAGTATGGGTATACTCTCTGCAAATGTTCACCTGCTCTGGAGCTCACTCACACGCTCTGGCCCTGTTAAGGTGTTGGTGTATATGGCACACCATGATGATGCCAGGTACATTCCCTGGTGTTAGCTGGTGGATAGTTGGTTGGTGGATGTTGGTAGGACTGTGATTAATCTGCCTGCTCTTTACAGAGGTTTCATCCCAAGCATAGGAAATGTCCTAGACACTACAGGCCGCCTTCTCAAAGTATGAATTTGTTAGGCGTCGATGAATATCTCTGGTCTCTAGGAATGCCGGCAGAAGAATGCCCTCACTAACTCAAGTTTGGCGTTAGTAAGAAGAAGTTCCTTGTATACATGAGCTAGGAGTAAACCGGTTTCCAGGAATGTTCAAATAAAACCTTAGAAATAATCAACTTACAGTTGCAAATTTGAAAATGACGATAAGTCAAAGCAACAAGAAGGTGTAGACATCAAATTCTCAAACAGTCTTGATTATCTGCATTTAAATTCTCTACATCAGTTTATGGCTGTTATCTGTTGCTTGCAGGATGGTCTGCAATAGAGTAAGAATAGTAGATATGGAAATTATCCAAATCTCCAAACTGAAGAGGATGTCCTCAGATTTACCAAATAAGATATTGTGGAAGCAGCATGCTGCCATAAAGTAGGTCAGAACCAGCCGGTCAGGAGTTGTGGGTGACAGAGATGTATCATGTCTTCTGACCTTTTTACTCTGCATTGTGAAAATATTAGAAATCTAAAAGACATGAGGGGAGTCACTTTTGGAGGACATAATATCAACATTATAAGATAATCAGTTGATTCGGTTAAGCTGTGTTTTTATAAAAACACGAATCATGTTTGTGTCACACAGTAAATTCAACACATGGGACATTAACTAAATTGTTAGTCAGGGCTACGTTGTATGATCTGATCTCTTCAATGTGAGCAGGGAAAACATACCAGGACCATCAGTTTGTGTGTGGGCATAATGTCAGCAACCTGCAATATGCTGAGGTTGAAAGTTTTGACAGCTTGCAATTAAACAAAGCTAAAACACAGGATAGACATAATTACACTAGAAAGTCAAATATGAATATAAAAACAGAAGTAATGGTGATTAGTCAGAAAATCATTTTCCTAAAGATAACAACATCAAAGTAAACAAGTCTAAAACAAGTTCATAGGCAATATAGAAAAAAACATGTAATCTGATAACAGCAAACATAATACTTTTAAGGATGCTAAATTAAAATACCTCAATAAATGGTTTTTTGGTTTGTGTCAAGATGGCGGGACGTGTTTTCTCTCTAGCTCGGCGCATATCGGTTGATCGACGGTCCGACAAGCTGTCATCGCAAACCACCAATTGTTGTAGAATCAGATTTCTGACTCTAACTGCATGATGATTCGTTCTAATCTGTTAAATTTGAAGGTATGGATAAATCAAGACTTCCTTACCAAGCCCTCATTTGGACACCACAGGGGAAAAGATCTCGTGGAAGACCAAGGGAAACCCTACGTAGAACTATCATCAGGGAAGGCTCACTCATGGGCCACTCAAACATCCAAGACCTACATCAGATTGCAACGAACCGCCATGAATCGAGAGTCATGACCTCTGCCCTATGTGCCGCACTCGACACAAGAGGAAAGACTAACTAACTAACTAACTAATAAATAGCACATTTTACAGAATTTTGAATATTCTGTGCAATCTGTGTTCAACAACTGTGATGTGAGAGAGATCTTGTAATAACTACAGCATGCCAATGGAAGCTGATGAGATGTGCTTCTGTAGAAGAAAGATGACAGCATTATAAATAGATCAAAAGCTCATTATTAACTTGATCACTCTTGCAGAATATTGACTATCTGCATTGGAAATAAACATTGCACATTCTTTGGACACCCTAGTGTATGCTACGGCAACAGGAAAGTTAAAGAGGATGTAGGCCAGAAAGATACCAAGAAAAGCTCTAGTACAGTTTGGCATTGTTGTAATGGAAAAAATCTGTATCAGAATTTACTGACATGCACTTGCCGATGATTTGTCTTGTGTTAGTGTCACATATCACTCCTGTCACGTGCCTGATTTAAGGATTTCTCCTTAAGAACCAACAGCACTCAGAAATGATTATGTTGAGTCGTTTGGCTCGTATTGGTCTAAGGGATGCCCCGTGGCCATTATACGCTCAACTTATTTCTGGAGTAGGGCAACTCAAGTTTAGGCACTACAAAATATATATATGTATACGAATACAATATTCCTAGGCACACTTGGCTGGACACCCACACTACTATAAAAAGAAAGCCCCCAGGTTATGATAGTTTCCTATCATAATCATGTTAACACATATAATACTTATTATACATACACACATCAAAGATAAACACTTAGCAAGGTGAAACAGAGACACCTAAGTCAGCCATGAAAATGAATGCATGTAATCAATTCAACTTCTTTACATCAATAAAAGAATAATGTTTAGAATGTTTTGTAGGATCAGAACTCAGAGCAACGACTCAGATATTGAAACAGCCAGAAGGTCTTGACTAGCAACCCAGTGTCATCCTTGGAATACTGTGGAGCTGTGGGGAATAGAGCATGATAATAACACAAAAACTTGCACTTATCAGAGTTCTATTGTTGATGCTCCCCTCAGTCCATGGTGATTCGACTGTAGTTGACTCTGGTAGTTCTGCCTCAAGTGGATCTGTTCATAGAGGAGTACCTCACCATCGAGGACACAGGAACTGTATAGGGACTCAGCAAGTCTCTCCCACAGGTCAGGTCACAACTCTGTCTCTGAGCTCCACCAAGCTCCTGAAGAATGGTACACTCGAGTATGGGTATACTCTCTGCAAATGTTCACCTGCTCTGGAGCTCACTCACACGCTCTGGCCCTGTTAAGGTGTTGGTGTATATGGCACACCATGATGATGCCAGGTACATTCCCTGGTGTTAGCTGGTGGATAGTTGGTTGGTGGATGTTGGTAGGACTGTGATTAATCTGCCTGCTCTTTACAGAGGTTTCATCCCAAGCATAGGAAATGTCCTAGACACTACAGGCCGCCTTCTCAAAGTATGAATTTGTTAGGCGTCGATGAATATCTCTGGTCTCTAGGAATGCCGGCAGAAGAATGCCCTCACTAACTCAAGTTTGGCGTTAGTAAGAAGAAGTTCCTTGTATACATGAGCTAGGAGTAAACCGGTTTCCAGGAATGTTCAAATAAAACCTTAGAAATAATCAACTTACAGTTGCAAATTTGAAAATGACGATAAGTCAAAGCAACAAGAAGGTGTAGACATTATTATTTTATGCGATAAAGGTACAGACAATATAAGGGACTATACACCTTTCTGGACGGGTCCAAGTTTGAAATTTTTGTCGAGCGGGGGGGGGGGGGGGGGGGGGATACCAGGTCCCGACTTGACGATGTTGTGTAGTGGCGAGTCATTCCTTGACAGTTAGTTTCGACAGTGGTACCAAACGCTGACCATCTAGAAAGCAGTGGCAAACTACTGAATGTAAAATGTGTCTAGAAAAACCCCAACAGCCAAAATATGCTGGGGCTGGTTTCTTGTAAAAGAAACGCAACTAACTTTTAGCATGTGACAGAAGGCTGTGGACATTACCTGACTACAAAGGCAGACGTCAGAGGAGGTACTACACTCAGACAATGTGATCACAATCACTTCAGAAAATGAAACTCTTTTTTAAGCATTATTAACAAAACCACAGGGGTTTTGATAGAACAACTATGAAAGGGATTACTCTCAAAGACAAAGAACAGTAGTTGATTAACAAGAATGGACACAGGATATTGAAGACATCCTGTATGTGAAATTCATAAAGGAGAAAAGTTGACAAATGAATCTAGAGTCTTTAGCTGGCCATCATGACAGACATCCCAAACATAATATGCTTCTTTTTCTTCATTGTTCACCCTTAAAAGGGTGGTTGGCATGTTGTGTTGTGGTTTACAGCTAGACATTGATATCTGCACCTTTCAGCCCAACACATCCAATTTCAGCAAATCAATACTTATGACATGCTTGTTGTATATAGTGGGTCTATTCTCCCCCTCCCCTTTTTTTTTTAAAGTCAGAAATAACATGTCTTCAATTGCTAAAGACAACTTTGTTTGTGTGCTTTCCAGCTTGCAATACTGTGATTACTGAGCCCTATGGATACATTGTCAGTCAAAACTATCCAGAAATGTATCCACTGAACTTCAAATGTAACTGGACAATCCAAGGACAGCAGAACAGTTTTGTTTCATTGAGGTATTTTGTTTCAGTTTCTCGCTATATGTTCCTGTTAATTTGTTTTTTTTATGACAACCCTTACTGCACATGCATACCCCAAAAAGTATTCAGTGTTTTTATTGATACAATACATATTCCTCAGAGATGTGGTTTTATAGCAGAATGCTGAACTCTTCAGTCCTGAGAAACACCTGATGTATGAGTGTCTCTGTTCCTTGATTTAATTCCAAAGCATAATATGCTCTTTTATCTTTACAATTTAGTAAGAACATACTAAAGAAGTCAGGCTTCCCTAGTGGTTATAGCCACTGTGTATAATGCCACATTGAAAGTAAAGAATTTATACTTTTCATTCATGATTATTTCTTTCGTTTTGCATCTCCTGTGAAACATTTTGAGACTGAAAGAAGACTCTTGGACAGCCCAAAAAAGTTAAGAAATGTGTTTGAAAGAGGCAAGGCACACAGAATACAAGTCAAGATTCTTCAACAGCTTTCTGTTCTGGCACTGAAGACTGTCAGCATATGATCTGAAATCTGCTGTTAGAGCCGGCAGTCAGTGGAGAAGTGCGATTTCTCATGCTAGTCCGCAAAACGTCTTACTCTTTTACCGTTCATTTAAAGATCATCTTCATTGCGCTTATCTTCATCGCACATCAAGCATGACCATTAGGTGCTCCAATCTCTTCTTGAGTATGTCGCTAAGTGTTTTTAGGCTAACAACCCCCATTCTGTTCTGGTTGATGTAATGATGGATGGCTCTCGAAATGGTTTTCCTGTCTCGCTGCTCCAATTGATGCACCCAGGTTATGCAGTCTTTTTAGTAAAAAAACATTTTCCATGAAACTGAAAGCCTCACAGCGTTAAGTCTCTCGCATGGCATTCATGATGTCTCTGCTGCGCATAGACGGCCAAATCCTGAAAGTTACACTGCCAGCCAGGGCATCTGCTCTCTCACTGCCTTTCACACCATCATGACCTGGGATAAAAATATGATTTTGTGAAATGTTGCATCAGACAGAGCCACTGTTTCTGTATATGCCTCGCCTTGGTCTTCTATAGCATGTTTACTGAGCCACTCAAAAAGCATGCATTGGTGAACTACTAGTTTTTAGCCATTCTAGCGCCTTCATCACAGCCATGACCTCCATTGTCATGCTGCTGGTGGTAGAAGCAAAGGCTCTGCTCTCTTCTTTGATGTTAACTCTTCAGTCCCAAGAAACACAACATACATTTATAGGGTCTGCCTAGAAGCCCAAAGAATGCAAGGGCCACTGATTATATGTTTCTGTGTACTACTGGGGAGGAATAATTTGCGATCCAGGGCACTCGTTACTCTCATTATGTCGTGAAGGTGCAAAGTTTATTTAATGTTGTCGATTCATGTATTCATGGTCATCCTCTTGCTCTGATCATCTGAGATGTAATGTCTGTGATGGTATTTGATGTTGTCGATTCATGTATTCATGGTCATCCTCTTGCTCTGATCATCTGAGATGTAATGTCTGTGATGGTATTTGATGTTGTCGATTCATGGTCATCCTCTTGCTCTGATCACCTGAGATGTAATGTCTGTGATGGTATTTGATGTTGCCGCCTCCAAACAAGATGGTCAGACAACTTGATCTGCTGTTTCTCTATGAATCTAATACAAGTTGTTGTCCCACCATTATAAGGGAGAGCTCATTCATTCATTCATTCATTTATTCATTCAATGTCCTGTTATGCCATTTTTTTGTCACATAGGGCTCACAGTCTATTCCTCCATTCCATTCTATTCTGTGCAATGAGTTCTTCTTCTTCTTCTTCTTCTTCTGCGTTCATCCGAAGATGTAATTGTGTTGTGTCCGTTTACAGCATGGCTGCGATATTTGCACCTTTCGGCCAACACATCCGACTTCTGCGGGCATTTGTTGATGGGTTAGCCTTCCCGGCTAGGACATGGCAGTCTCATTGTTGTGTGGTCATCTTTATTTCCCAGGTCACAGGTGGTGCCTTAATGAGGCTGGTTCAGAGAAGCCACATAAAGCTGATCAGCCCTTAAGAGAAGGCAGGGGCAGAACATGAGCATTCCCCGCCATCCAAGGAAGCTTCCACAAATGCAGAGATAATACATGGTGCTCTGGTACTGGGCTCACCCAAGGAATCGTCATGTCCTGCTCATGACTGTTTAACCTTACTTCCATATATTGAACATCTCATACATCATGGGCTATCTCTTTTGTAGCCAAGTGTATGAAGCCTGCCGACCTAGGATTTAATTTACCTACACCACAAAATGAGTACTTTGCTTCTTTTGCATGTTAGACTTTTACTGCAGTGGACTTCCTCATCCACTAGTTTTACGTGGTTTACGAGCTCTGCATCCTTCTTGTAGCCTGGATGTTCACAATCCCATTTGATTCTATATGTGCTTCTTATAAACCTCTTGGCCTCATCAGGCCCAAACAGTAGTCAAAAAAGACATAAAATCGGCGCATCTTGCGTTCATTGGGCTTCTATGTAGGAATCTATGAACGTCTGATGCTTTCCTTGGGACTCAAAGAGTTAAGCAGCACATATAAAAAAATAAATTTGACTCTCAGAAAATGACTTGTTCACAATTTGTTTGCAGCTTCAGTGATTTCACCTTGGAACAGTCAATTAGGTGTGTTTATGACTATGTGAAGATCCATGATGGCAACAGTGAGTCGGCTCCCTTGTTGGGTCAGTTCTGTGGGGAAAGTCTGCCCCCAAATATCACCTCATCTGGAAACACAATGTACATCAGCTTCAGCTCAGATGACTCTGTCAATGACTGGGGGTTCAAGGGCAAGTATGTCATATATGGCTAAAGAAGCACATATACTACATGGTGAGAATTTAAGCATCGTCAGTTTAACATTTTTCTTTTACCCATTTAAATAATTCAGTGTGCGAACAATTAATTTTCAAAATTGCAGACTATTAAGCTTCTTCTCCTCCCCTCCTTCTCCACTTCCTCATCCTCTTCCTTGTATATTCTACATTTGTTCATCCTCCTCCTCTTTCTCCTTGTCATCCTCCTACTACTTCATTTCTGCTCCTTCTCCTACTCCTCTTCCTTCTTCAGTTACCGTTTTGAGTTTTCAGGGAGATATAAGGACCTAGTTCCCCCTCACCTCACCCAGTACCAGACAGTTATGTGTAGAGTTCATGAGAAGTCATGGAGAGGAAATGCAGGCACTTAACATGGAGAGCCCTTTCACCACTCTATAACAGTTGAAGAAAATCAATTCATAAAAATATATATGAGTGTTTAGTGAAGAATCCTTGCATGCTGTATAAAATCAATGGCTTTGAATCCCAGATAGATAATACACAAGCCAAACAATATCTTAAGACCTTGGAGATGTGGTTTTACAGAAGAATCCTTACAATTCTTTGGACAATCAAACGAGTAGCCGAGATAGTTTGAAAGAGATAAGAGTCTGAAGACAAATTCAGAAACAGTCATCATTTTTGTTTTTTATAGCGATATAAATCGCAGCTATGTTGCTAAAAATGATCCTTTTGGCCTAATATATATGATTTCAGCGAATGTCTTTTTAGTCACCTAATGTGACATACTTCTTACGGGGGCAACGGATCTATTCCACCCTCACAATGGGAGATTGTTGACTGCAGAAACAAGTGTTTGAGATTAGAAAGAGGCAATAGTCTAACTAGGACATCATCATCATCGACCTGTTGTGCCATTTTATGTCTCATAGGGCTCACAGTCTATTCCTACATTCAGTCCTATTCTTTGCATTCCTTTTGATACCATGGATGGAATGGAATCCAGTCCAGCACCTTTGGTCTCTCTCATCAGTTTTCATTGTAGGGTTTCTTTTGGACATCCCCGCTCGGTCAATTAATTTATATTCCCCGTTTGGTCTTACATTCTTTGGTCATTTGTTTTCAGCAGGTTTCACACGTAGCACCATCTTCTTTGTCTTCTAACTGTTGATGCTAATAGTTGCTCACACATTTCTCTTATTTCTTTATCCCTCTTGAATTAATTCCATTTTATGTTCTTCATTTTCTTCAGGATTTGTTTTGAAATGCATTTAACTTTTGTTCCATATCTTTAGTGACTGTTCAATTTTTAATTTTTTGTAAAACTGAAACAATATGAGACCAGGATTTAGATGAACTAGGACAAAGTGCCAGTCATGTAATGTTTGGTTGGGACAAAATGGGTTTAGAAAAGTCTCCATCAGTGAGTGAAAGGTTTTTAATGGGTCTACTGGTACTGCTTGATGTTACTTGAGTAATTTTTGTGTGCATAATAATTAATTCTCTTATGCCTAATTATTTGATCATGTCTCTAATTAAGATCATTTTAAGATCTTATTATATCTTTAACCTTTAAGAACTATTTGTCAACTAAATTTCTAATTTTTTGACTTCTGCAGGGAGAAACAGAGCACTTGTTGGTTTATTCTGAATCCAGTGACGACATTACTTCTTCATTAAAATAAAATTAGGAATGAAACCTCATGTAGTTATATCATAATGACACAACTAAAGGAGAGGTTATTATCCATTGTTGCTATCTTGTAAATCTGTGTGGTCTCTTAGATAATACTCTATGATGTGTACAATAAACAAATAGAGATTAATGGAATGGGACTTATAGACAGAGGCAGAGAGATAGAAGGAGGGCCCACTAGACAACATAACGACTGAATGCTATCTTCCGACTAACGGTCGGCAAAGATGGGGGCCGCAAAATATCCAGTCGAGCCACAGTCACATGTCATGTGTTGTAAACAGTCAAAAATTGAAGTGGAAACTAATAAGGAACGAAAACTAATGAGCGACAAAAATGTTATAAAATCGACTACTTACAGATAATTGTATGCCTTTATATCTGGAAATTATGGCACAGACGTTCTAAATAGTGCTCGAAAATCTGCTGTTTGTTGCTGTTACGCCATTGAAACTCGGCTAAGTACGATCCGAACAAGGCGTGGCTCCTACCGCATTGGTAACGCACCTTTCTTTTTAGTAGCATCTACAGACCGGCTATCCTACGAATAACAGGCACAAAAGATGTCGACCAAAACCAGGGCCTCACTCACGTGTCAATTTCGAACTTCCAGCGACTTAATTTGTGGTTTTCCGGCGACTACTGCCACCGACGAGAGAAGCCCCGACGCGGCGTGAGCGGCGTGGATTTTGGGCACTAAACTAGATGGCTAGGACTCACGAGCAAAGCTGCAGGAGATGCGGAAGCTGCTGCTCATGGGTCCCAGCCGTCTAGTTTAGCCCCATCCACGCTGCGCGTAGCGGCGCGGGGGAGACTCTCGGTGTGAGTTTAACTCCGCGGTTTGTTCCGTTTCTCGAAATTGTCAACAGACACTAATCCTAGTTTTGCCGCAATGTGCTCGTGACCGCAAGTGCGCAATAGACACGCGACTGTGGCTCGACTGGATATTTTTCGGCCACCATCTTTGCCGACCGTTAGTCGGAGGATAGCCCAACTGAAAGTTATATATACCATACTGGGAACCTGTCACCTCCAAAAGAAGGCAGCACGTTGCTGTGTGAACAACTGTACTTTAAAATATGACCAGCTAGACAGTGACAGGAAGTACATAATTTAAAATATGTTTGAACAGACCAGCTCCAGAGGTCCCTCCAGATATCCAGCCTTTAGGTCCAGATGGTATTCCAGCATAGGTTATTAAGGCCAATATAAACACAGCTATGCAATTGCTACATAGATTATTTAGTACAGTCTGGCAGAGCAAAGAAAAACCAGCAAGTAGGAGAGAAAATTACCTTGAGTAACTGTTTAAAAAAAAAAGGTGTACTGCAGGAGTGTGAGAACTGTAAAGATATTGCTGTCAGTTCCTGGGTATTGTTTAATTAACTCTTTGAGTCCCAGGGGGTTTAGCATCACAGGCCCAGGGAGTAGTGAAGAAAGTAACAAAATCGACGCATCATGCGTTCATTGGGCTTCTAGGTAGGAACCTGTGAACGTATGATGCGTTCCTTGGGACTCAAAGTTAAGAAGGATTATTTTGGAAAGACAAAACAAAAATGCCATTAATAAACAGTTAAGGGATGAAAGGCAGGCTAATGACCAAACAGATCCTGTACCGACCAGATATGCTACAGTATGCATAATAACAGAGCAACGCATCAAGTTGAAATCACCACTTTATATTGGATATGTAGACTATGAAAAAAAACCTTTGACAGCATTGATAGAGAGCCTCTGTGGACATTTTTGAGTCCCTATGGTATCCCAGAGAAAATAATTAACTTAGTAAAAGCAACACAGAAAGACATAAAATGTCAAGTTTTTCATGAGGGGAAAACTAGCAGATGCATTTGAAATGAGAACAGGTGTACAGGGGTGTCTTTTGATGGCTGTACATTTTTTTTTTTCAACTGGCAATAGACTGGATCATGAAGATGGCTACTACTAGGAATATAATTCAGAGGACTCCTACAACACAAGCTGATATTTCTCTTCTGTCCAATTTACAGAATCAGAAATGCAAAAAATACTAAAACATACTTATTGCAAGATCACAACAACTAGGTCTGAAAAATTCATAAGGGAAGACAAAGATAATGTGAATAAACCAGACAATCAGTAATAAAAGTTCCTTACTGAAATTCCACTCCAAGACAAGAAATCTTACACCTATTTGGGCAGTAATGTAGATAAAGATGGAGGAACTGATAGAGATATTATAATACTATTAAAAAGGTAAGAGGAGCTTTCATCGCACTAGGAAATTTGTAGAAGTAAAAGGAAATTAAACCAAAAACTAAACTTAAAATGTGTAGTTCTAACGTCAAATGAGTACTGCTGTATTGATAGGAAACATAGAGAACAACTAAAAGTTACTAATGTACTACAAACATTGATTAATTGTTGCCTGCACAGAATATTGGGAATTAAACTTTGGAAGGAAAGTAAACACATTTCATTAAATCAAGAGGTGAGGATAAGATGCGGCATTGGATAGAACACATGTTGAGAAAAACTGAGAACAATAAAACTAGAATAGCTTTGCACTGGAACCGACAAGGTCATAGAAATAAAGACAGACCCCAAAAAACGTGGAGATGGGAGCTGGAAAGTGAGGTTAAAAAAGTTGGAGTGAGCTGCATGCAATAGCAAAGGATAGGACAACTTGGCATAAACTGGAGGATTTCCTATGCTTCACAGGGTGGGGAGGGATAAAAAAAGTAGAAGAAGAAGATGATGGAGCTAAAAGTTAATGACAGAATCTGTGGTTCAATAAAATAACAACAAACCAAATTAACATCTTAGTCAAACTGTTTCTCAGTGAACAACTAGATAGGAGAAAGTTCCATTTGTTGCTGATGTTTCATGTCATGTTCTTTGTTTCTAGACAATTACTGCATGCTGAAAGATGCTGCTTTGTTGTACGCAACTGTTCCATTGAATTCAAGAAGCTGAGAGTTTGTTTACTGTTAAAATTACATTGGAGCAGCCATATTAGTTACAATCATTATGGTTTTTTTTTACTGCAGTAAAATGTAATGAGCAGCAAACAGTGTTTAAAGTTTGTTGATTCTGTGATTAGGCTAATTCTATTGGCTAATTCATAACAACCTTGACCTCCTTCTGTTGTTGTTTGGGCTCCTGCTCTGTCTTCTTCTCCTCTTCATATGTCTCCTTCATTTTCTTCTTTTTCCTCTTTCTGTTTGCCTCTTCCTTTACCACTTCTTCTTCTTATTTCTTCTATTTATCGTCCTCCTTTTCTTCCACCTGTCCTTCTTCTTTGCCTCCTCCTTAACATGCTCTTCCTTTCTCTTGTCTTTTCTTCATGCTCCTCTAATT